TCTCCCTTTGAAGTGGCAACCGTTTGTATTTAATCAGCACCTCTTGTTTACTGTGCGACCCTCTGGCCTACCCACTAGCATTATAAACTAAACGTAATTAATCCCTTGGTTATAATTAGTTGATGTATTGGATTACTTTTAGAGTTTAATTTGATGGGACCACCTGAAGGAAGCCTAGACACTCCAGCTTATTTCATCTGACGATTAAACTTCCAAGCGTTATTTAGGTTAGGTTAGGTTAGGTTAATCTTTAAGTTAAATTAAGCTGGGGATATGAATTTTCAGGTGGTTCCAGTATCATATTATAAGGTCTTAGTGTGTGTGTGTGTGTGTGTGTGTGTGTGTGTGTGTGTGTCCGTGATGGTCATCAGAAGGTGGTATCATCTCTGTCCATGATTTTCACTCTGTTATCTCCAGTAACGATCATATTATTTGTATAATAACTTACGTGCTTGATGTTTATGTTGCTGAAGAGTCAATATTGGTTATCAGGTCAATACACCTAGCTTTAAGTGGTTCATATTGTATATAAAGTCATACTATCAAAGTTCAATGGCACAATTTTCATTCAAAGATCAAAATATCAAAGTTCAATGAATCAATATTCATTAAAAGGTCAAACATATCAAGTGGGCATCATCACATTATTCAGCACATTTCAGGACCATAGAGTGAGAGATTATGGTGGTCCAGCACCTTGTTGATACAGTGAGTCTCACCCCCCTACACACACACGTCCTTTCAGCACACTAATTAACTCTCAGGTAAAGTTATGAATACAATGATCGAGACAATGTTTTTAATAACCGAATTTACATTAACACGACCCATTCTGTGTACTATCAATCCTCCCTCCTTCCCGCACCTCATATGTTACTAAATACAGCAATTAAGAAACGAGGGGCAATTTAATGGGAGGAAAATATTGAAATGCTGAAAGGAATCCTAATTGTTTAATCAGCAATGATTATCAAAATTCGATTGGCACTCTGGCACCCTGATACCTTGGCACCCTCGCCCTCTTGTTATTGCTATTAAGACACGTTCAGAAGACCCTCAGAAAAAAAAAATCCAGATTGGTTTTGTGTTTTACAAGGCCAGGGTAGATCGTCTTGGGTACATAATGGCGATGAGGGAGTTTTACATAATCTTACTTTTCTCTTTCTTATAGCTTTCGTAATTTTTGAAAGTCGATGATTACGTCTCTACTTCTTTTTTTAAGCTGTCTCCCCCCCTTCCTCTTTCCTACTGTTGACTTTTTTTCTTGTATCTTCCTTTACATACTGTAGTACTCATTTTGGTCCGTCATATAAGTGTATAGTACGTTACCTTTCTGCATATAAATACAAATATCTTCATGCACTAATTCCATCCTAAGTATACAGAAAATGTCTACATAGTGTTTTATATCTATACACACTACCCATATACACATATACACCCCTTACACACCCATGGACAGCACACACACACACACACACACACACACACATACACACACACACACACACTCACTTACTTACTCACACACACACCACTCCCCATTTTACCACACACACACACACACACACACACACACACACATCCTACACACTCATATTGCTACTACTTTGCTGTCACTGAATCGAGTATGACGATAATTCAGCTTGATACAACGATATGAGTAATATGATGCTGCCCTTTATGTTGCACGTGAGAGCTATATCTATTGCAGGAGGCACCCTATACACACACACACACACACACAAACACTTACTTCACACACACATCCTACACACTCATATTAAGTTACTTTCATTTGCTGTCACTCGGAATCGAGTATGACGATAATTCAGCTTTGATACAACGATAGCGAGCATATGATGTCACCTTTACAGCAATGTAGAGAGCTATATCTATTGCAGGAGGCACTTACACACACACGCACACACGTATAGCATCACATGCGCGCACGCACACACACACACACACACACACACACACACACACACACACACACACACACACACACACACATGATTATACACAGCACCCCACATACATACTGTACACACGGCAAATACACATATACACACAACACACACATTATGCACACATATATAAATAGCTAAATTCCACACACACACACATACACAAGTACCCCTACACCCCCCACACACGTGCACGCACACCCATTACCCTGGCACGCGGTCGTAGTAATAATTAGTGTCAACCATTACATTTAACACAGGAGGGGACCGCTGACGTTCTCCCACCATCTGCCCGTCTGTTTACTCTCTGCGGGAGGTACTGCGCTGACCTGCGATGACCGTCTGTATTTCTGTCTGTCTATCGTGTGTTTGCCTCGTCTTATGAATCTGTGCGTCCATACGAGTGTACTGTAGATGCCTTGAATATAATATTGTATACAGTATATATATATATATATATATATATATATATATATATATATATATATATATATAATATTGTATACAGTATATATATATATACAAGAGCCACATTACACCAATGCATCACTCGTGTTTGAAATGCGTAATAAAGACATGCGTTTACGATGGTAGTAAATACAGTATAGGAATCCGTAACTAGACACACACACACACACACACGACCAAGCAATATGTAATCATGTATCTAACATAACTACCATATCCATGTATCAGAGAGAGAGAGAGAGAGAGAGAGAGAGAGAGAGAGAGAGAGAGACAGACCGAACCGTCCACTGCTGTGAAGGCATTAATGTTGCTCTTCTATGACCACGGAGAGTGAGGACAGAATGGCTACTTCACTCGTAAATTGTCTAATACCCTCCTACACAGCCACTAGCCACCTTTTAATGGCACCACTTAAAAACAACTGTGCTGCTATTTCCTCGCTACACTCTGAATGAATACGACGAGGTTCATTTCTTCTCTTTCACTCCTTTTTTTAGACATTCAACGTGACTGATACATACCTATTGAAAAGCGAACTGAGATATGCAAATGAGTTTTATTTTATGTTTTTTTTTTAAACTTGACATATGTGAATTAATGATTTATATTTTTAATGATTTATCTTCCATAATAAACATACTATTAACCAATGGAATATGGTGTACATTCTGAACATGACGTATCAAAGTCTTAAGAATATAAATATGAAAATTAAAAACAGAAATACGAATTATAAAATACATATTAAAATAAGCATATATCACAAAAATCATACGTCAAATTAACATATAACGCATTTTTTATAGGATTTTTAATACATATATTATACATGATAAAAAGAATTGAGTTATAAATCAGTTTAAGAAAGAGAGTTAATGAGACAGGATGATGCTTTCACCTTAACACGAAACACCTGAACATGATTGGTTATTAGGAAGGTACAAGGCTTGCCGCTTTCATTAGAGAGGTGAGAGGGAGGGGAGAGAAGGATGATGGAGGAGGGAAAGAGAGAGGGGAGGGGAGAAGAAAAGTGGAAGGAGAGAAGGGGGGAGAGAAGAGGGTGAAGGGAAAGAGAGAGAGAGCATTGTCATATACCGGTATATATCGTAGTTTTCTCTTTTTTTCTCTATGTCTGTTTGCCTCTTTCTGTCTCTCTCGTCTTATCATTTTCTCCGTATATTTATCTGTCTTTATCTCTCCTATTACTCTGCTATTATTCCTCTCTGTCTCTGTTTGTTTTTGTCTCCCTGTCTTCGTTTCTCTCTCTTTCTGTGTCTCTCTTTCTTCTCCTTTATTCTCTCTCGGCTTTTAATATTTGCAAATCTCCTCCTATCTTCCATTTCTTCTTCTTTATTATTCCTTTCTCTTTCTTCTCTTATCTCATTTTAACCCCTTCTCCTTTCAGCCGCTATCCTTCTCCTTACGTTTTATCCTTACTTCCGTTATCCCTTCTTTCTTTCTTTTATTCCTTCCTTCCCTCTTTCTTTTCCTTACTATTCCCATGTTTATTCGTCATGTTCGTGTCTTGTTTATTACCTCTTAACTCTTCTTCTATTTGCCATCGTTTACCTTCTTGAATTTTATCTCTCATTCTTCTTTCCTCTTCTCATCATCATTCGTTATTCTTCTCCATCCTCTTTATCTCTCTCTCAACCTCACTTCCTTTTCTCGTCATCATTCGCTAATCTATTTTGTCTCTTATCTCTTTTGTTTTCTTACAATCTTTCTCTCTTTTTTTCACTTTTCTTGTTTATTAGTTTTCTTAAACAATATTATGTACTTTGCTATTTATCACGTCATATTTTATCTCTCTCTTTCTCTACCTTATCTCATGATTACTTTTATCTCTCTCTTTATCTCTACTTGTCTCTTTTTCTTTCTCTATCTCTCTATCCCATACATTATTTATTCCATTATATCTCTCTCTATATATTTCTTTATTCCAATCTCTCTTTCTTTCCTCCATTCTCCCTCTCTTTCTCCATTTATCTGTCATCTCCCCTCCCTCTCTTTCTTTATCTCTACATAGCTCTCTCTCTTCCTTTTCTTATTTCCACCCTATCTCTCTCATTCTTCCTTTCTGTTTTCTCCACTCTCTCTCGAGGAATTTTAGAACTAGGTGCTATTTAACTTAGAATTAAAGTCCGTCAACTGTGAAAAAATAAAACACCCTCACGTATAAACCACCTTCCACCCGTCAAATCAGTAGAGTTATGCACTGAACTGGCAAAACAAAACCATAAATTACGGGAATTGGAGTTTCCATTCTGGTAATTCCACATTGATTGTATTTTTTGGAGTTATTTTTAGTACAATGTTTCTTTCTTTGTGTCTGTTCCCTGTTATCTTGGGATGGTTTGTAGTATATCAATGTACTAGTGGAGGAACAGCGTTTTTTTATGATAATTATAACATTCACAATTATGATTATAAAAACGAGTATAATAATATTCATGCCAATAATAATAATAACAATAATAAATTTAGATAAGTAGACAGGTAAGCAGTAGATAACACACCAAAACAAGTAGATAAGTAGATAACAAGCAGAAGATAACTCACCAGTAGAAGTAGCTGGGTAGGTCCGCGGGCACAGTGGTAGAACAGGTAAGGTTGAGTGTGTTGCCAGCACTCATATGAATGTCCCTGGAGCCCTCAATTTCCGCCACTGATTCTGTTAACGGGAATATATAATTAGCATTATCTGGGCGTCTACAATTACATTCGAATCACACAAAGATTAGCTCCTTCACCACCCAATTTATTTCCCCCCGATGATTAAAACCCCCTAACGCAACCTGGAGGTTAGGTTAAGTGAGTTAATGATTATACATGTGTGTGTGTGTGTGTGTGTATGTGTGTGTGTGTGTGTGTGTGTGTGTGCCGATTCTAGGTAACAACTCTTTCTACACGAGAGAGAGAGAGAGAGAGAGAGAGAGAGAGAGAGAGAGAGAGAGAGAGAGACGAACAAAACATTAGAAAACCAATAACTCTTGCATAAGTACAAACACAACCTTCCTTTAATACAAACTCTAGAAAAAAGGATTGACTAACGCATTCCTTTACGCATTTCCTCTATAATTACTACAATAACTAGTGAAATACGCACACGCACACATACACAAACACGCACGGCACTAATCAATAAGGGAACGCCTGTCAGACTACACACTACACCAATAACACGCTCATTTCCGCATTTTAATACAAAGGTTTCAATTATTAGCACTTAACGCACACACACACCCGGTACTAATCAACAACTTGATCGTAGGTCGGCATGGACACCTGGTTAATAACACGCATATCAACACGGTGTATATACGAATATACAAAGTGTTTAACTCTCCAGGTCAAAATTATAAGTATTTTCTTCCATATACCTTCCACTCCATAATTCAAGGACGACCCACGCCTACTACTACGACTACTACTATTTTTAACTTGGCCTCCATCCTCCCTCAATAGCCACACCTACTACTACTACTACTAACACTTAATAAAATATCTCCCATTCTATTACGACCTACTACTACGACCACTCCTAGCCATGAATATAATATCTCCCATTTAAGGACGACCCAACACAGCTCCCAACCACTCACCCCTTCAAGGACGACTTACTATCACCACTACGACCACTCCAAACCATGAATAATCTCTCCGTTGGTACACAGGACACGCACCCTTCCCCGGGAGACTAATTCGGTATCACCCACACACACATTATAACAATTAGTTGGATAATATAAGGCCTCTCTTCACCAGGCGCTGGGAGAATGACCCTTTATCCCTGCCTCTATCACCATCTGGCTGACCACACACACACACACACACACACACACACAGACACACACACACACACACACACACACACACACACACACACACACACATACACACCAATCTCCCTACCACCCTCCCCCTCCCCCCCCTCTTTTTCTCTCCACACACACACCTTTCACCCTCCCTTTCTTCCCTCCTTCTTTTTTCTTCTCCATATCTTTCTTCCTTCCTTCCTTTTCCTCTCCTTTCTTTCAATTCTCCCCTTTTCCTCCTCCCCATACCTCTTTTCCTCCCCCCCACACGCCTCCTTCCTCCCCCCACACGCCCCACCTTCTTCCCCTTTCCCCACACGCCCTCCTTTCTTCCCCTCTATACGCCTCCCTTCCGCACCTCTACACACCTCCCTTCCTCCTCTCGCCTCCCTTCTCCTCTCTACACACCTCCCTTCCTCCTCTCTCTTTCTCTCCATATCTTCTTTCCTTCCTTCCATCCTCTCTCTTCTCTCTCCACTCCCCCTTCCTCCCTCTCTACACGCCTCCCTTCCTCCCTCTCTCTTTCTCTCCATACCGCCTTCCTCCTCTCTTCCCCGTCCTCCTTCTTTCTCCCACATTTCCTTCCCTCTGCCCTTATCTCTCCATACCCCTTCTCTTAATACCTCCCTCTACACCCCATCTCCCTCCCTCACTCTCCACACATCCTTCCCTCCCTCCCTCCCCTACAACAGCCCGCCCCCCACCTAGTCATGTGGCCGGATATCACTCTACTAAGCTGTCTGGCTGACCTACTGTATAGAGGGGTCTGGTCTGGTGCCTGATGGACACCAGACTCTCCAATTTGCGTAATGGCTCACTTGAAGGGTGAGCCATGTTGGTGATGATGTTATGCTTAGGCTGGTGATGATATGGTGGTGGTGATGATGTTGTGCTAAGGGTTGTGAAGTTATGGTAGTGGTGGTGATGTTCTGCTAGGGATGGTGACTTATAATGGTGGTGGTGGTGATGTTCTGCTAGGCATGGTGATGTTATGTTAGTGGTGGTGATGTTCTGCTAGGGATGGTGACTTATAATGGTGGTGGTGGTGGTCACGTTCTGCAAGGGGTGGTGACTTATGATGGTGGTGGTGATGTTATGGTGGTGATGTTAAGGTGGTAGTGGTGGTGGTGGTGACATATAATGTTGATGATGGTGGTGTTATGGCGGTAATGTTCTGCTGGGGGTGGTGACTTTTAATGGTGGTGGTGTTGATGAACTGCTAGTGGTGATGATGTTATAATGATGATGTCAAAGTATTGGTGATAATGACAAGTTGGAAGTGGTGACGTTATGAGTCATAGTAATGGTGATACTTTGGTACTTTAGTGGTGGAGGCATTTATGTAATTAAAGTTTGTTAAATAGTTAGGCAGTTAGTACACCCACCACGACTCTGACTAATATCATTACTAACTACCGAATTGGTTGTGTGTGGGAGGATGTGAAAGTTTATTACTTGTTTATGAATCTCTCTCTCTCTCTCTCTCTCTCTCTCTCTCTCTCTCTCTCTCTCTCTCTGTCTTTGTCTTTTTGTGTGTGATTATCTCTCTTCTGGCTTCTTTTGCTTGTTTTACCACACTTATCTGCTTCTCTGTACATACATACATACCTTCTACAGCCATACATACGCTTTATACATACATACATGGAAAAAACAATCCACTGTAATTGCCTTTTTACACACACACACACACACACACACACACACACACGCACCAATCAACTATACACCCACGGACAGACAGAGGCAATCAAACAAACACACGATACCCAATACTCCGACGGGGGAGAGTGAGAACAAACACAGCAATGACAAACAAACAAACAAACGAACACGATATACCCTTAATAGTATGTCAGTATAACACTAATAGCAAGCTGTCGTCTCTGTGTATATACAAAAAATTGGCACCGATTTCAGGGAGGTACCAATTTTTAGAGCTAGTAATTTGAGAAGTACCATTGGTTTTATCCCATTACAAAATAGGGTACTTCACGTCATTCCCTATTACATAACTGATAATTGACTGTTATAGAAGTTCCTATCCTAATTTCGTGTAATATAATCAGTAAAGTACGTTCCCATTACGAAATTGGTAATTGGTAGATTTTTAAAGAGATTTTTACTCCTGTGTAATAGGCCTTGGGTTGTGTCATGGGTTGTAATTAGTGATGAAATTGTGTTATAAATCGGTGTCTTTTGAATAATACGTAATAATGGGAATTTCAGGCCTAATTCCCATTATATAATAGGGAATAGCAAGTTATTTAGGTCAGTTCCCAGTACGCAGTAAAATATTGAAAACGATTCTCCGTTTCATGATTGGTTAAATCTTATGACGTCATGATAATGTTAACCTGCTGAAGTATGACGTCACAGATGGACTTGATTTAGATATATTTTATTGGTTGTCTTTACTTGCTTACTTAATTATTAGTTTGTGGGTCATTTCAGGCTGGAACGATAAGTAACAAGTCGAAAAATCCTTTACCAAATGGATCGATAGATAATGTTGACAAACGCTATATTGACACACAGTTAACCTCATGCAAAAATAAAATCAGCCAATCAGAGCGCTTTTACACCAATAACGTTAAGTATATAAAGGATATCAACCAATCAAAGCTTCTACACATAAATGACGTCATGTGAATCAACCAATCAGATAATTTTGGCAGAATTTTCAGCCATTTTCACTACTCCATCTGATAGAGAAGATAAAATGCAATCCAGGGAAAAAACAAAATTAAACAATAGCGTACAGAGGAAATTATATAACATGTGTTTAAACAATACCTAGCGATTCTTATATGACTTTGTAATATGAAAAATGAGAGAGATTATTTTTATTCTCTTCTTATTATGAAGGATTTAGCAGCCAAGGGGGGAAATATACGAAGCGCTGGGTATTTCTAATTAGGAAATCAATTGTTTATCGGGAATTCAGAATTTATGGCAAATCTATATAAATAAATAAGATACAGTGTGTGTGTGCAAGTAAAACCCGCCTTCCTGACGTCATCTGAAAAGTCAGCCACCATCAGTTGTAAGAAAGAAGTCAGCCACCCTCAGCTGTGAGAAGAAGTCAGCCACCGTCAGCTGTAAGAAGTAAATCAGCCACCGTCAGCTGTGAGAAGGAAGTCAGCCACCGTCAACTGTAAGAAGGAAGTCAGACACTATCAGCTGTAAGAAGGAAGTCAGCCACCGTCAGCTGTGAGGGGAGAAGTCAGCCCAGCCAGCACGCTCAGGGGCTGACACTGCCTCGTGAGGTTGAATATGAATGAGCACAACCAACGCGGGGGGAAATATTTCATGGTACTCGAATAGAATATGTCTCTCTATCCTCTCTTCCTCTTCTTCCTCCTCTTCCCACTCCCCTTTCCTTCTCCAGACTCCTCCCCTTCCTCCTATTTGCTACCGACTCTCGCTCCTCCTCCTCCTCCCCAGCAGCACCACGTAGGAACTATGGATTATGTTATTCAGACAAGGTGGGCGTGAGAGGAATTACCTGATGAACATAAGTAGGAAGAAGAACGTATTTGAGATGAAGCTAAATTGGTAGAATGAAGATCGATCACGTGGTCAATAATAATGGATTTTGAAAAGTCAATGCAAAAACTAAGAATTCGCCTCATTCTAATCCTCTCTCTCTGTTTCTGTCTCTTTGTTATCTTCACCCTCTCCCATTTCTCTCTATCTAACCCAGGGGTTCTCAACCAGGGGGGAATTTCCCCCCTCAGGTTTTCAGGGGGGGGAAACTGATACTAATATGGAAAAAATAAAGGATTTTCAGTATTATATGCATATTATTTGGAATGCACTTTTTGAGGCAGACACTCTTGGAAAGGAGGGGGGAATGACATTCTGACATATGGTGAAAGGGGTGCATGGGGCAAACAAGGTTTAGAACCACTGATCTAACCCTTTCTAATCCTCTCTCCCTTTCTCTCCATCCCTTTCTTATCCTTTTTCCCTTTCTCCCCATCCCTTTCTTAAATATCTTTCTCTCTAACCCTCTCTCATTTTCTCCATATTCCTTTCCAGTCGTCTTTCCATCTTCCAATCCCCCCAAAAAATTATCACTAAAAACAGCTGCTTCTCGACACCTGTCAGCATCACCAACAACAGGTGTCTGACGTATAATTTCGAGTGTCAGTATACCAGTTTCCATCACAATTTCCTGTCATATTCTTTCTTCTTTCATTCTTTCTTCCTTCTTTATGTGATTTACGTGCGGTAGGGAGATATAAGAGGAGGAATCAGAGAACGAGAGAATTTTTTGATGCAGGAGAATTTGGAGGAGGATGATAAAGAGAGAAAGAAATTGAGAAAAAGAGATGAAAATATGGAGAAGATGGCGAAGATGAAGAACCGAAAGAAGAGGATGCATAAGAAACGGTATAAAGTCTTCTTTACACACACACACACACACACACACACACACACACACACACACACACACACACACGTGAATGTTTTTAAGTTTTGTTTGCGATGGAAATAAGAACTGCAGTGTTAATCTTTATGCACCAATAAATCTACAAGAGGTCTTAGTCTAGGTTGTTTGGCATATGGCAATAAGTGGCCTAACCCAACCCATACGTATGGCCTGTATACAACTTACCTACGACGCTGAGGTTGAACGCCCTCGATATCTTGGGTTCTGTGGACACTTGACACTCGTAGGTGCCGGAGTCTCTGGTCTGAGGGCTAGTGATCTTGAGAACCCACTCCGGTGAGCCCTCAGAGTGTAGCGCCGTGAATCGCTGGTCCGTCGTGTAGGAGAACAAACCCACTGTCAGTACATGGGCGTCTCGTTTCCTCAGCCATGTTACCTGTGGAAGGAGAGGAAGGTGAGTGGTGATAAGGTGTGGGGTGGTGGTGTGGGGTGTGAGAGGGGTGACCGGGTGACTGGTAGGGAGTGTGGTGGTGGGGAGTGTGATGGTGGGGAGAGTGGTGGTGGGGAGAGTGGTGGTGGTTGTTATGGAGAGTGGTGGTGGTGGAGGTGAGTTAAGGTGAGTGGTGGTGGTGAAAGTGAGCTGAGGTGAGTGGTGGTGGTGGAGAGAGTATTAGTGTAGGCGATTTGAGGTGAGTGGAGAGATGAGCAACTTTATCATTCCTTAAGAAAATGAGAAATTGAAAAATAAAAGACCTAATACAAGTTCATTTTACGATAGAAAGGAAATGGACATTACTTAAGTTCCCCTTTGTTGAGCAAGTTACATAACAAGGTAATACAGAGTAGTTCCAGCAGCGACATCCACCACTTTCGGAGTATCAAATTAGTATTAAAAGCTGAATTTGATTAGAGAGAGAGAGAGAGAGAGAGAGAGAGAGAGAGAGAGAGAGAGAGAGAGAGAGAGAGAGAGAGAGAGAGAGAGTATTGAATTATGATATATCCACTTCATATTCGCAGTGCTGTGATTTTGCCAATTGTGAAAAAGGGAATATTCGTCAATAGAATTTTGTCTAGTGGGGATTTTGTCCATTCCCGTTTTCTTCTGTTTTCTCTCTACTCTCTCCATCTCCGTTTCCTCTCTATTTCCATTCCCTCTCTCCCTCCTATCCCTCTTCCTTTCCTTCCCTTTCCTCTTCCCCTTCTCCTTCCGTCCCCTCTAGTCCTCCGCTTCCTCTCCCTCTCTCCTTTCCTCCTCTGTTCTCTCTCTCCCATCCCAACCTCCCACCACTCCTCTCTCTCTCGACCTACATCTCTCTTTATTTCCTTTATCCCTTTCCCTTTATCCCACCTCTCTCTCTCTCTCCTTTCCTTCCTTCCTTTTCCAGACTGTAATCATCGCCAGTGCTGCAGTTTGATCACGCGAGGCTTCACCTATTCAAAGGTTTCGTGTGATAATAATGACGTGTAAGATATAATATAACAGAATAACATGTTTGTTGTATAGTCTGTTACCTATTGGCGTCTTTCTTCGAGTCATTCTGTCAAGTAAAATAGTCAAGATAACATGTCTGTGGTTGTCTGTCACCAGCTGGCGTCTGAATGTGAGTTATTCTGTTAAGTAAGATATAAGTCTGGTACTCTGTTACTCTGTGTCCCGAAGAACTATGAATTATGCATCATGTGGGAGGTACGATAAGGTCTGTGAGGTTCAGTGGTTCATCGTGAGGCGTCCAGGTATTGGTACTATTTTGACTGGTTGTGGTTCTGTACTACAATGGTTTATTGGTTCTGTGATGTAACTTATTATAATCTAACATAATCTTAGTTGACTTAACTTGAAGTAACTTAATCTAATCGAAATTAACATAACATAATATAACCTTATCTAACTTAACCAAACCAAATCAAATTTAAGATGACCTAACCTAACCTAATCTAACCTAACCTAAGCTACTCTAAATTGACCTAACCTAATCTATGTCAATCTAGACTGACCTAACCTAACCTAACCTAACCTAACCTAATTATTGGAGCAAATCAGCGAATCTTCGACCCAATGAACAGTCGGCCACAAAGTCTGGTAACCTCCCCACGCGTGCCTAAACCGAAACAGTTTCTATTCCTATGTCATTATACGGGCAAAAGGCGGACAGTCGGTCGTAGTTCGAATGCTCGGTTTCGTATCCGGAATATTGAAGGTTACCAGATTTGTGGGTGACTGTACGTAAACCATCGGACCAATGAATTATATAACCACTCAAATTTCGAACTAATGAACCACTGAACCAATAAATCTCCAGAACACTGAACCACCGAACTAATAGCTTCTTGACTAATGAACTATTGAACCAACAAACCCTCGCACCAATGAACCATCGGCTCAATGAACCCCCCCTTTAATGAACCATCGACCAATGAACCCTCGAGACGAAACAGTTTCCATTTAATACAATACAGAGAAGCAACGATTCTATTCCTCGACTACAAAGTACAATACACGCGAGTATAATAGGTATCCTCCACTGAAGCATAATACAGGATATGTGTGTGTGTGTGTGTGTGTGTGTGTGTGTGTGTGTGTGTGTGTGTGTGTGTGGAATATTCTAAGCTAAATTAAATAAATAATACTGTTACTGGTGACCTTCAGCAAAATGTAATGATATAACGTGTAATTCGCTCTACATTGAAATACATCTACATCTACAAACAAGGTAACTGAAAATTCCCTCTACAGCTGCAATAATTAACAATATATCGTGTGATCATTTCTAATATTTACTGTAGAGCAAGATAAATAGGAAACGAGGAATAATACATGTATACAGCCTTACAAATAAACAATATGTATACAGTTTCGTAAATAAATAATGTCTGTCTGTCTTTGTCCCCCTTCTCCTTTTCTGTCTGTTATTTCATCAGTCTGTTTGTTTCTCTTTCAATTTCTTTCACCCACTCACACTCTCTCTCTCTTTCTCTCTCTGTTATTTCATCTGGAGTTATCATCCCTTTAATATTTCCATTTCCTATCGGTCAAAGCAAGTCAAGTCAAGTCGGGTTAGAGTGCTTAATCATAAGAACAAAGAACTTAAGAATGGAGGAAACTGCAGTGGGCCTATTGGCCCATACTGGGCAGTCCCGTTTACACCCAACCCATATCGCTCAAATATCCATCCAACCTATGTTTGAAGCCATCCAGCGTATTCGAGTTAATGTATGAAGTTTAGTAGCTTGTTCTATTCATCCATTACTCTATTTCCAAACCAATGTTTACGCATTTCGTGCTTGAATCTAAATTTGTCTAATTTAAAACCATTGTTGCGAGTTCGCTTCAGGTAACCCTTTCTCTCAAATTCTCTCCGTTATCTCTTGCTTGATTTCATTCTCTCTCATTTTCACCACTTCCTTAAATTTGGGTCTGGAAAGGATTCTCTCAGTGAGGCGAAGTTAACCAGATGAAATTCAATGTTTCCACTGTCCAATTTCATCCGGATTCCAAAGTTCTTCATGAGTTCCCGTTTTCTATATGTCTTTAAAAAACCCGAAATCGTCTACCTTCGCGTTCACCTGAAGATTATTTCGTGTGTTAGGTTAGGTTAAGTTAAGCTAAGCTAGTTTAGGTATGGTAAGGTTAGATTTATGTTACGTTAGGCTAGGTTAACGTTCGAGTGGTTAATCTTCAGATGCAATAAGCTGTGGTGCCAAATCTGCAGGTGTATCCCATCATTTAATAAACTCCTATGTTCCTCTACAACACCTGGCCATTGATGAGGACTTGTTGTTACGGCGGGAGACCAATATTGAATAAACCATAATATTAAATAATGAAAAGATAGAAGAAAAGAACTGAAAAAAATAAATGAAATAAAACGAAAGATAAAAGCATTTGAACTAAAATGTTAATTGGTTTATTATAAAAAACGAACAGACAAAAAAAGTAAAACAAAAAACTATTTATCTAAACCAGAATATTTAATAATTGATTGAAAAAAGCGGAGGAAAAACAAAAGCGCCAAATAAACAAAAATATAAAATAAGTTACTCAAAAATCAGAACAGAAAATATTACAGCAAAATACTAACTAAAATCCGTTTTCTGTTTATCACCTAACATATTTTTTATTTTTGTTTTTGTTTTTTTATGTTCCGTGGTCGACCGTTTTAAAGCAGGGACGTTTGAGGGGGAACTCCGCTGTCCCTCCGCATTATATCTCGTAAAAGAAACAAACATATAAATTTTCTTCCAACTGTAAAACTCCAAAATGAAAATAAAGATAGATCCCCCCCCCAAAAAAAAATAAAAAGTAACAAATTTAAATATCTGTAAAAAAAAAATGTAAATATGGCCATTATACTCTGGGGTCAACCAAAATTGATATCACTCGTGTATTCTTTATTGTTGAAGGTCTCGTGTAATTACTAACCTTGTTATGCGCTTAAAGACTTTACATGTTGACGTGCAGTAATAACATTATAACTTTAACGAGGTTGTTATGAATAAGAACTAAGTTGGAAAAAAATGAGAGAGTATAACAAACACCAGAGGACGACCGTGGATCAATCCTAACATGGTAAACCAACTCACAGAAGGGCCTCCATAAACCGAGTTAGGCGCTACAGTACTCCCAGCCAGCGAGGTGACTACTGTATCGACCTGTTAACATCTAGTGGCAGGAGGTCTTCGGATGTATCACACACACACACACACACACACACACACACACACACACACACACTCTCTCTATCTCTTTCTGTCTATTTAAATCTGCCTCTGTCTGTCTTTCTCTGTCTCTCTTTTTATTTGTCTGTCTGTCTGTCTCTCTGTCTGTCTGTCTGTGTTACTGTAGGGGGAAAGGTGATGAATTTGTAACTGTGATTGAGGACGGTGTTTTACGCGAGAGAGAGAAAAAATAGTAATGAATCAGCGTAACTGAGCCGCCACGATACACAGCTGGTGGACAAGAGTCATCACCAGCTGGTCACAACATCCACCTGTACATTCTAATTAACCTATTTTCCATGTTTTTCCCCAAAATTTCACTTGTTTAAATTATTAATCGGTTGTTTAATGTTTTTTTCGTCTATTTTTCTTTCTTTTCTTGTTTATTAGTTTATTTGTTTACTCATTATGTAAACAATGGGGTGGCAACAAGGCGACAGTAGACGTAGATAGGACGAACACTACTGTCATTCGATACGGTGGAGGGAGAGGAAAAGGGTGGGTTGGGGAGGTGAGAGGGAAGGAGGGGTGGGTAGGGAAAGGGGGTGAGGAGAGGGGAAGGGGGTGGGAAAGGGGGGAAGAGAGAGGGGGATTCAGATATATGTCAACCCTGAGGTAAATATTTGAGGTGTGTCAGAGGAAGATTTGTGTGAGAGTGCTGTTGTCTTCACCTCCACTTCCCTTCCTCCCGTTCTTCCTCCTCCTCCTCCTCCTCCTTCT